CTATCTTTTATTTTAATTGTCAAATTTTACGACGTGATTTAAATAAATAACTCACCTCTATGCATAATATTCTTTATGTTCCACTGAGATTGACTTGCTTTCATTTTTTGTTTGTTATAAATCATTTTTTTTATTGAGAGTATAGTTAATGTTTTAGTTTTCTAATATATGTTTATTTAATGTGTCTTGTTATCAATAAATATGAGCTACCATTATTTAATGTAACGGTACATTAAAAAAATGTATGTAAAACACAAGATCATACCTGTGTTTCGTAGAACTTGAGGCGAACTTCAGAATTTGGACTCGTAAATCGTAGCAAGCAATCAAGTTTCTTCATTTATAAGAGTTTTACGAAACTAAATTTGTTAATTTAAAATCAACAATAAACACAACAAATAAAATGAGATATTCAAAGTATTTATATTACAATCAAATAACAATGCGAAAATGTTCTAAACAACACTAAAATAACAATTTCGTAAATTTATGTTTTAAACACATATTTCGGAGCAACATTATTTGACTCAACAACAAACGTTGATTTTTGAGTGTAAAAAGGGCTCAAATTAGTTTAAGAAATAAAGATTAAAAGATATGATTTTTTGACTTTGTTAAAGCATTGTACCAACAAATTGCATAGACCTTAGTTATATATAACTGATGAGATAGAGTGTTATACCATTTAGGAAAAATATAACAATATCAGCAATTAAAAATAGTGAACGAACCAAAGGGCAATTTTTTTTTTTCATAAGAATGATAACATAATTACATACATAATAATTAACAAACCAATGGGTAGTATCTTTTTTCATGAATCTCTCACAAATCACAATTCACAAGCCAAAGGCAGTCCACTATTCACAATTAAAGAATCAAAAGCTGTTATAAACTAATCAATAATTCCTTATAAACCACAAATTCATCAATCACAAGTCAATAAGACAATATAACACAATAAACTAATAATCAATTACATATACAAATTACAAGTAATTTATACAAACATGTGTACTCGGTCAGAGATAGAGACACAATGCACATATTCATAGAATATAAGAATTAAATGCGATAAAAGAAAGGGCATTATTGCCTGCTGACATCACTTATATATATATATGATACTACCAAAAATCGTACCTGCAAATTTTTCGAGCTTGATAATTCGGATTGTGCACGATTGTAGTCTTCCGGTACCTGAAACAAAAGCAACGAGGTACGTTCTCGTCGCCCCTTCGATACTTAAGTCAGAAAGGAAATTATATGCGTGAGGCTATAAATTGGAGAATAATGAAAACGTACCTGAATAATGGCTCAAGGTTCTGTATTTATAGTAGTAAGCGACATTCTCCTAGTGGGACTCAACTAGTTGGATGTCATTATCTGTTGGAGTCCTATACAGTTAAGGAGTTGGTCAAATACCATAATTATATGTGGGATAGAATCCTTGCGGGAGTCAAGTATATGGTTGAGTTAGAGTCCTAATTGCATAGGAATTCTAAAGGGTCAACAATCATAGGTTGTAAGGGGGAGCATATGCTCGAGGACTGCTTATGCTCAAGGACAAGTATCACAATATGTAAAGCAGCCAGACAGGGAATGCTCAAGCACTCCATATGTGGAATTGCAAGTTTAGCTAAAATTGGTCGTCGGGATAATTAGTGATCGGGTTACAGGGAATGTCAGTATAATTGGCCCCCGTGCACATATGCTCAAAGCCTTCGCTTGGGGATATGATGCAAAGAGGCTCGAAGGCGACTGATGTGCAAAAGCTCGGGCTTTTGAAGACGAGTGAGCGAAGCTGACGTGGTGATAACATCAGCCCTAAACGAGTAAGGCGGTGGAATAGTTGAGCCCTTAGATGGTAGACACGTGGCGTGATCGGACGGTTGTGCCGACTTTTGGGCTCCCACTCAGGTCTCCTATAAATACTCCTTTCGCTATTCATTTTTTACTTTTTCACTCTCAGTAAATTTTTCTCGCAATCGTCGATATCAGGTAAGAGCTCGAGAACTTAAGTTGTTTATTTAGAAAGGTCTTAGCTTGGAATAGGATGTCGAGTAGTGAAGGAGATACATCATCTTCGGGGTCTAGTTCTACACCCGAGGACTTAGGACCCATAGTGCCGATGGTAGTACCTATTAGTGCTCAGCCTCGAGCTCAGGATAATCCGACATCACTTAGGTTCCCAGATCAACCCTGTAGGTTTAAGGAACACTTAGCGATATCGACGGCTAGGGAATATGGCCTTATGCCGGGATGTGATATAAGGCATCCCGAGGATGGGGATAGGATGGCTATAGCTCGGGAAAAAGAGTTCGTGATTTTCAGAGATTCTTTAAATGGGGGGTTAGGTGGCTCGTGCACCCATTCTTTGTCACCCTGTTGACCGAGCATAATATGAGCCCCGGGCAGATAGTGCCGAACGGGTAGAGGATGTTGACCTACTTTTTTGTAGCTTGAAGGTACCTAGAAATTACCCCATACCTAGACTTATGCAGGATGGTGTTCGACCTGAAACAACTTCCCCAATTCTCGTGTTTTGCCTACCTTTCATCCCGAGGAGGATTTAGGATCCCGAGGATGCCTAGTTCGTTAAAAGGGTGGAAGGAAAAATGGTTTTACTTCGTGACTCAGAATCTCGACCTACCTTTTAGTCCTCAGTGGGTCTTACCAGATACTGCGAGGTTTTGTGAGGGTCAAGCCTATTTTGAGTCCTTAGAGAGGGATAGGCTGATGTTAGAAAATCTCGAGCCTTTGGTGTACGATATAGATGATGTCCTCGGGGATGACATCCTCGATCTCATGAATGTGAAAGGCGTCGAGGGTAGGATATGCACTTTCAATGTTTTTATTCTGCCTATGTTTGTAATGCTCGTGCTCGTGCTAATGTTGGGTGATTTTGCAAAAATGACGTTTGATCCTGCTGCCCTACGTCATGCGATTAACAAGAAGTCCAAGGTCCCCCAGGCTCGGGCTACCGGCCAGAAGAGGGGACAAAAGAGAGCTTCGAGAAATAGAGGAGTGGCCCCGGCGAAACTTCCATAGAGCGAGAGAGGGTTGAGCACCCAACCCCTCAAGGTATACCTCGGAGCTTCCCTTAATCTCGAGGTCCTATCGAAGTGGTTGATCTCAAGGATGGGTCTCTGCCAACATGCTCTGTCCCATTAGAGGACCAAACCTGAGGCCAATTTTTGCCGAGCATTGCTGACCAGTACCGAGGAAGTATTGGTTTTGATGACGGCATAAGGGCCATCGAGGCCATGACGCTGAAGGTACGTCAATCATGTAATCCGAACTTTATTTGTTCAGGTATTTTTGCATCTTTTTTAATCGAGGCTTTATTAAACTTCCATTCATCAATTTTTTCTAGACGTTAAGCATTGCTCGAGGCCTATCTTTGAAGGGAAAAGATGAGTCCTCCAAATTGACTGACCACGAGGACTCCCTAGCAGCTTGTGATAAAAGAATTGCCGACCTTGAGGCCGAGCGCGCTCAGCTGCTGAGGGAGCGTGAGCAGATGAATAGCGAGCTCATGAAAGCTCGAGAAGAAGTTGGTACCATGAAGGATAAAGCTGAGGAGGTAAAGCTAGAGCTTGAAAATATTCATAGGGATTATGAAGGGAGGTTTGTCCAAGCTCGAGCTGACTCGGTGAGGAGTTCAAGAAGTGTGACATTTTTAATGAGCTCAAGGGCGAATGCACAATGGGCTCGTACTTTCATGCCTTGAAAGAGGCTCGAGCATTCATTCGCTTGAAGCTAGACGCAACACCCGAGGACTTGAAGACTATCCCACAGGTAGCTAAGGACCTCACCCTCTCAGAGTCCAAGGAGAACGTTGATGATGAGGAGGTCGACATCGAGGGTGACGACGTCGAGGAAGATTAGCCAAGCCAGAATACCGAGGACTAGACTTCTTGATTATTCTTTTTGGTCATGACGACACCTATTTTTGTATTTTGAACAAGTATATTGCTCGATCTTGGTTAATGTTCTTTTTATCAATGTTTTTTCAACGTTGGGGTGTATGGCTAACGACTTGGGCATCTTGACAATCGGGACAAATTTAAATAGCTCAACTTTTAAGACAACTAATGGATGACTCGACGCTTAAGATGAAATAATAACTTGACGTCTGAATATTAATCTCGATGTTTAAGATGAATTAACAACTCGACGCCTAAGATGAATTAATAACTCGATGCCCAAAATGTTTTAAACAGCTCGACACCTAAGATGTATTAATAGCTCGATGCCTAAGATGAATTAATAACTCGACGCCTATATCAATTAAATATCTCGACGCCTAAATGAAGTTTTAGCCTTGACGTACTTATTCACCGACAACAAAGATTTATTTTTGTCATGTTTGACAAATAATATTCTCTCGAGGACTGAATTTTACAAAATCATTTTTGAAAATATGTGTTGAGCTCGAGCATGTATACAAGTTATCTCGAGGACTCAATTTGTAAAATCATTCTTTGAGATTATGCATTGAGCTCGAGCATATTATGCATGTTTATCTCGAGGACTCAATGACAATGTAATTGTATCGACCTATAGCGTGATTCCCGAGGACAGTAATGGCTTTTTATATAAGATCTCTCACATCGTTGATCGGGCACTGTGTGATCAGGAATGTTACTTTACTTTTTTGATTGCTTGCTTGGGGCAAGGCTTGACTTGGTTGCGAGAAGCAAGGCTTTTTGATTTTTCTTGCGCGGGGCAAAGCTTTTTGATTTTGCTTGCGCGGGGCAAGGCTTTTTGATTGCTTGCGTGGGGCAAGACTTAAGTTGCTAGATCATATTTTGACGAATAGCTTAATTCTTATTATACTTTTAAAAATAGACTTGGCACGTAGGCCAGACAACTAAAAACGTGAACCTTGGCACGCAGGCCTGACTACCGAAAAATAAAACTTGGCACGCGGGCCTGAGAATTGAAAACGTGAACCTTGACGCGCAGGCTTGACTACTAATAACTGGAAGACCAAGTTATTTGTAATATATCTTTAAATTCTCAGTGTTCCATGGTCTTGGAAGTGGTCTTCCTGATGTATCCCTTAAACTATATGCGCCTCCTTGGAGCTGTCGTATGACTTCAAAGGGCCCTTTCCAAACTGGTCCTAGCTTGCCTGGGGCATGACCTGCTGCTTCGACTCTTCTTAACACAAGGTCTCCGGCTCTTAATCTCTGCGTCCTTACTTTTTTATTGAAGTACTTTGCTATTTTATCTCGGTAGGAGGCCATTCTTAAAGCTGCCTGATCACGAACTTCTTCCAAGAGGTCGAGGTGTTCAGTGGTGCACTCTACATCTTCAGGCTCAAGCCTTCTTTGGCTGGGCAACCTGACTTCAATATGGATGGTGGCCTTAATACAAAAAGCCAACATGAAGGGGGTTTCACCCGTTGCAGTTCTGTGGGAAGTTCTATACGTCCAAAGTATGGAAGGTAACTCATCAGACCAGGAACCTCTTGCATCCCCGATCCTTGTACTGAGGTCCTGCAATATAATTCGATTGGTCACTTCGGCGAGACCATTACTATTAGGATGGGAAACCGACGTCAAACGGTGATCAACCCCTAGGTTGGAACATAAGTTTTTAAATTGTGCATTGTTAAACTGCCTACCATTATCAGTTATGAGGACTTTCGGTATCCCAAACCTGCATATGATGGATCTCCAAATGAAATTTCTTAACTTCGGCTCTGAAATTGTTGCTAAAGGCTCGACCTCCACCCACTTAGTGAAATACTCTACAGCCACAGCCACAGCCACAAACTTCAATTACCCCTTAGTTATTGGAAAGGGACCAAGGATGTCAATTCCCTACTACTCAAACGGGGTTGTGCAACTAATGCTAGTGAGGTCCTCTGCGGGAGGGTGGATGACATTGCCAAATCTTTGGCACTTGTCACACTTCTTGACATATTCCTGGGCGTCTTTCTTCATGGTCGGCCAATAATATCCATACCTTATGAGCTTGAAGGCTAATGCCCAAGCTCCTTGATGGTTCCCACTTACTTCTTCATGAACTTCTTCTAGGGCCAGGGATGATTCGAAAGGCCTAAGGCATTTGAGGTATGGAAGTGTGAGGCTCCTGCGAAATAAAACTCCTTCAATCATGCAATACCTCGAAGCTTTGGACCGGATGCTTCTCGTTGCTCGAGGATCTTCTAGAAGACGGCCATATTTTATGAAGTCCACTATTGGATCCATCCACGATGGCTCATTATCAATATCCATGACGCCTATGGTCTGATTGATGCTTGGCTCGGTTACAATTCTAACGTGGTCTATCCTGTCAAGCCCATCTATTCCCATGAACACCAATCTTGACAAGGCATCGACCTTACAATTCTCGACCCGAGAAATTTTCACAATTTCACAACTTTTGAACTTTCTCTGGAGATCATGCACTTTCAAGCAGTATAAGCTCATCTTCTCGTCCTTCCTATTGAACGTCCCTTCAATTTGTCCAACCACCAACTAGGAATCACTGTAAATTTTGATATTTTCAAGCTCGAGATTGACGGCAAGTTCCATGGCTATGATGAAGACCTTATACTCTGCTTCATTATTGGTCGCCTCAAACTCGAACTTGAGTGTGCACTGAATGTTTATGAGCATGTCCGAGCTTATGATTATGACCCCTGATCCCGAGCCCAAGGAGTTTGATGCTCCATCTATGAAAATTTGCCACACAACTATGGTTGAGCTCAAGCTACCATCTGGCCCCCGAGGCTTTGGGGTGAGTTCTACAATGAAGTTAGCTAAGGCCTGAGCTTTGATAGATGGACGGGGCTTGAACTCTATGTCAAATTCTCCGAGTTCAATTGCCCACCTCAGCAATCTTCCTGAGACATCTGGTTTCTCAAGAATGTATTTTAGAGGCTGATTGGTGAGCACTGCAATAGGATGTGACTGAAAATATTGCCAAAGTTTTCGTGCTGCCACTATCAGTGTAAGGACAAGCTATTCTGCCAAAGTGTATCTTATTTTTACATCAAGTAGGACTTTACTTACGTAATAAATGGGTTGCTGGCCCTTGTTGACCTCTTTCACCAAGACACCACTCACTACATTCTGAGATACGGCTAAGTATAAATATAGAGTATCCCCGGGCTCGGGTTTGGTGAGGATAGGAGGAGATTCCAATGTCTGCTTGAGCTCCTAAAAAGACTTCTCGCACTCCTCATTCCATTCAAAGCAATGATTACCCATGAGCGCTTTGAAGAAGGAGAAACACCTGTCTGCTGCTCGAGACATGAACCTGTTTAAGGCAGCTACCCTGCCTGTGAACTTTTGAACCTCTTTCTTAGTCCTTGGTGATTCCATTGCTGCCAAAGCCTGAATCTTGTCGGGGTTGGCCTCAATCCCCTGATGAGTGATCATGAAACCCAGAAACATTCCTGAAGCTACGCCGAATACACACTTCTCCGGGTTGAGCTTCATCTTATATTTTTGTAGGGTGACGAACACCTCCTCTAGGTCGAAAATGTGTTCCTCCACCTTCTTACTCTTTACAAACATGTCATCCACATAGGCCTCGATGTTCTTCCCTATCAAATCGGCGAAGACTTTATTGATGAGCCTCTGATATGTCGCCCCAGCATTTTTCAATCCAAATGGCATCACCCTATAGCAATATATGGCTGAATCAACCATGAATGAAGTCTTCTCTTGGTCTTCTTTGGCCATGAGGATTTGATGATACCTTGAGAATGCATCTAAGAAGCTGTACAGCTTATGTCCGGATGTGCTATCCACAAGATTATCAATCCTTGGTAGCGGGTAGCTATCCTTTGGGCACGCCTTATTAAGATCTGTAAAGTCAATGCAGACCCTTCATTTACCACTGGCCTTTTTCACTAGAACAATATTAGCGAGCCAATCGGGGTCTTGGACTTCCCTTATGAACCCCGCTCCCAACAATTTGCTGACTTCTTCCTGAATGACCACACGTCTTTCCAGCACAAACTGTCTCTTCCTTTGCTTAATAGGTTTGGCCCCTGGGCTGATATTGAGTTTATGGACAGCTATTTTTGGATCTATCCCTGGCATATCCTCCACCTTCCATGCAAAAACATCAATGTTGCAGGACAGACAATTGATGACTTCCTGTCGGAAGTTGGCCTTGAGATCCCGACCAATAGTAACGGCTTTTCTGTGCTCGAGCTCAACCACTTCCAATTCCTCAACGGGGGCCAATCTACCCCTTGGTTCGAGCTCGAGTTCAAGGTCTGAAAGTTGCATGACGTCAGCACTCATTCCTCGGATGCTAGTAACATAGCACAGTCTGGCAGCTGTTTGGTCTCCTCGAACTACTCCGATGCCATGACCTGTGGGAAACTTCATGGCCAGGTGGAAAGTTGACACAATAGCTTGGATCTTGTTCAGTAGGGGTCTTCCCAGAATGATGTTGTAGGCCATTAGGGTAATAACCACTTAGAATGGTGTGATCTCCGTCGCTTGTGTATTACCAGTTCCTAATGTAAGCGGGAGCTCGACGATGCCTTCAAGGATAATGACACCACCACCAAATCCCTGTAGGGGAGTTTTTACTGCGTTGAGCTGTTTGGGAGAGATCCCCATTTTAGCGAAAGCCTCCTGTGAGAGTATATTTGCTGCACTCCCATTATCAACCAAAACCTCTTTACTTCGAAGTTAGCCACAACCGCAGAGACGACCAAGGCATCGTCATGAGGATATGATATTCCTTCCAAATCTCTTGCTCCAAAAGTGATGTCTTTGACTTCATCACGAGATTTTCTTCAGGTATGAGCATGTTGGTGGGCATACTGCTTTCGCCCGCTACTTGTGTCTCCGTCGGATGCTATGCCCCCAACGATAATATTAATGGTTCTGATAGTGGTTTGAGCACTGCTTCCGGCCCCAGGCTCTTTCTGATTGTCACGGTCATTCCTTGGTTGTTTATCATGACCAATGTAATTCTTTAAAAATTCTCTTTTGATAAGGGCTTCAATTTCTCACTGTAAAGCATGACAATCATCTGTACTATGCCCATGATCCCGGTGAAATTCGCAATACTTGCTCCTATCTCTTATGTCAGGGGATGACTTTATCCTTGAAAGCCACTTTAACTCCTTCATATCCTTAACCTCCATCAAGATGTTTGTCTTAGAGGTGTCCAACCGAGTGAAAGCTGCTGACGACGCCTCGTTCCTGCACTTATCCCGGGAAAGCTCATGCCGGGGGACGGGATCATGTTGCCTCTTGTTCTCGGTCTTTTCATGGGAAGGACCAGGTCTCCTTGGATTTAGTGTTTCCTCCAAATTAATGTATTTTTTAGCTCAAGTGAGGAGCTCAGTCACTATCTGCGGTGGGGTCTTTGATAAAGATATCATGAAAGCTTCACATCTTACGGCGTAAGTGAGGGCGGAGACAGCTGATGTGATGTGAAGGTCGGGTATCTGAAGCCTTTCCTTGTTGAACCTTGTTATAAATCCTCGTAGGGTTTCAGTTGGTCCCTGGCGAAGTTGCATGAGAGAGGCCGCGATTTTCCTGATTCGTTTGCTACTTACAAAGAAGGTTGAGAACTTATCAGCCAAATCTAAGAATGAGGCTATGGAGTTGGGCTCCAATGTTGAGAACCAATCCCGAGCAGCATTAGTCAGCGTTTGTGGAAAGGCTTTGCACATAACCTGATCCGGCGCAACTTGCAAGTTCATGACATCGGTGTATACATTGAGATGGTTGATGGGGTCGGTCGTACCATCATATTCTTTAATGCGAGTATATTTGAATATGTCGGGCAAAGGATATGACAATATCTCTGGTGTAAATGGAGTGTTAGGGGTGAAACCTATTAGCCCCTGAGCATTCCGTTGCAGGCCATCTGTAATTCCTTCTTGAATGATCCAGACAATTTCACCGGAATCCATGGCGACCGATCTCGAGCCCGAGGCCATATTGTGAATACTCGAGGTTCCTATTCCACCAGTTGCGGGATTTGGTGGTCGTGCTCTACCATCAGCCATAAAATCGCCATGCTCTGCTTGCGCTGGCGACGGATGTGAATTTTTTTAACTTAAGAGTTGAGTGAGCATGACCACCTGCTGATGTAGCTCTTCAAAGGCTTCAGTTGTGATGATCACTGGCAGAGGTGCGGGCACTCCTGACAATTCTTCATGGAGAGCTGGTTGATCTTCAACAGGATGAGGGATGAGAGCGAATGAGCTAGCGGGAGGAAGACTTGATCGTGTGTTAACCATGACTTTTGGTAGCATTTCCCACAGACGGCGCCAATGATGCTACCAAAAATCGTACATGCAGATTTCTCGAGCTTGATGATTCGGATTGTACACGATCGTAGTCTTCCGGTATCTGAAACAAAGGCAACGAGGTATGTTCTCATCGCCCCTCCGATGCTTAAGTCAGAAATGGAATTATATACGTGAGGCTATAAACTGGAGAATAATGAAAACGTACCTGAATAATGGCTCAAGGTTCTGTATTTATAGTAGTAAGCGACATTCTCCTAGTGGGACTCAACTAGTTGGATGTCCTTAACTGTTCAAGTCCTGTACAGTTAAGGAGTTGGTCAAATACCATAATTGTATGTGGGATAGAATCCTTGCGGGAGTCAAGTATATGGTTGAGTTAGAGTCCTAATTGCATAAGAATTCTAAAGGGTCAACAATCGTAGGTTGTGAGGAGGAGCATGTGCTCGAGGACTGCTTATGCTCAAGGACAAGTATCGCAATATGTAAAGCGGCCAGACAAGGAATGCTCGAGCATGATAGCCCGGGAGACAGGGAATGCTCGAGCACTCCATATGTGGAATTGCAAGTTTAGCTAAAATTGGTCGTCGAGATAATTAGTGATCGGGTTACAAGGAATGTCAGTGTATATTATATATATATATATATATACCTAATTGAGAACTAGGAGTTCAATTGGTTTAAAAAGTTGAAGATGGGTCCATGAGATTTTAGTTGGATTGGTAAGGGACTATAGCAGGGCCTGTAAGGCTTTAATTTTGGGCCTATAAATAATTTAATTTGGGTTGTTAAAAGCGAAAACAACAACCAACCAGATTATCTCAATTTCATTTCAAAATTCAAATTTAAGTTTTTTTTTTTTTTTATAAAAGATCAAAATTATATTACAATTTTTACATATTATTAATAATAAATAAAACTACAAACCCACCACAAGCCAAAAAACTCATCCCCGTCTAATTTCAAACCCTAAAAATCTCTCACAAAAACAAAACTTCCCCATAGTCGTCAGTCAGCCACAATTCATTCCACCAATGAAGCAAGGATAATGCACAATCGAATCATTGCCGTGTGTGCAGCCACTCATCACCATTGCAGTAGTGATAGTGATGGCACTGCGCAACACGCAGTTTCTATCCACATCTGTCTGATTTCATCCATTCCACCGACAAAGAATTCACACCATTGTCATGCGTAGTGCCAATCATCGTCCCCGAGCAGCAACAATGGCGATGGCACTACGAGGAGCGTCGCTGCTTGATGTTGTGCGAACCGAAAAGTCGCATCAGTGCTCGCTCAAGGTATCGAGATTTGACCTTCTTAAGTTTGCTTCCTTTAGACGATATCGTGGTGGTCGCTATTTTAGATGTCGTCACTACCGATGATGCCACTACAGTCGTTGCTTCAGATTATGGTAGTGGTATTCGCCTAGTGCTGTGGCTGAGAGAAATTAGATTTAGGTATTTTTATTGGTGGTGTTGGTGATGTTAGTGTTGTAGTGATGGTGACAACGATGGGGTACTTTTCAAATTGGTTTAGTCAAAGAACAAGTTTTGCACTTTGACCAATTTTTTTTGCATTCACCACATTGGCCTCTTGTGTTGAAAAAGACAATTGTGTCTTTATTATGTTCCACAATTACAAAAATATGTTAATTCTTTGAAAGACAATAATACTCTTAAAAGTTTAAATAAATTCAATCACTTCCACATGTAAATTTCAAAATCAATTTTGCTTATCAGTTTCTCCAATACAGTTAAAAACAAATTTCTTCCATCTGCTAGAATATTAAAATCTCACAAAATTATCAAAGATTCAACAAAAAAAACATTACTCACAGTCGGCACTGGAAATTGGTAAGTGTAAATACGTATTTTTAATTTCATTTTAGTTAAATTTATATACTGTTTGAATCTTTAAATCTTACTTTTACAAAGATAGATAAATTATTACAGTATTAAACACGGATGTATAATTTTTTATAGCAAAAACGAAAAAAATAATCTCCGTATTCATATATTTTACAGGAAGAACATATAGTTGTCTGTAAAGTAAATATTTAAACATTATTTCGTTGAAAAAGGGAAAAAATAAAAAATTTCAGTCGGTCCAGACGTAAGGGCCAACTGTTCCGGCCACTTTTTTTTCAAATTTTATAATTTATTTGTTCATATTTAATGTATATGTTTATCGAAGTAAATATTAATGAATATTTAATACTAATTGAAATAAATATTTTTGAAACAATTAAAATAGTCAATGAATTATTTAAAGTATAAAATTAAATTAAATATGAAATGAACAATTTAAAAAATTATATATTAATTCCTTATATTTAATTTATTTTCTAATATTTTTAATTTGTGGCAGATATGGCATCAGCATGTGTCCCAATTTGTTACTTCGGTGAATTTCAAATGAATAAAAATGCTCAGTGGGAATGGAAATGGACGAGTGAAGGAGACGGGGTTAAAGCAATTTTTATAACAAGGAGTATATCGTTTGCAGAAATGCACCATGATATACAAAACATGCTTAACGTCGATCCCTCTCAGTACGATATGGTATTGGGATTTTTGTTTCATAAACATTCAACCATTCCAATTCCACCTATGAAAGTTACTTCTGAAATGGAAATGAAACATCTAATTAAATTGAACCAAGGCCGAAAGTCGACTCCTATTTGCGTAACTTTATTGGGGAAGAATGTCCACGAAGTTTTAAATGAAGATAATCGTAATGTAAATGATGTTTGGGATACAATTCAAACTGTTTATGAAGACGATGCAGTTATTCCCGAGACCACTGCTACTCACCATGATCACACTGTTACACACAGAATTCCATCGATAATTGAAGACAACGAGAACGAAAAGGCATTTACAAACGAGGATTTGATTGTTTTATCCCGTAGGAGACATGAGTCGGGTGGGAGCTCACAGGTCGGACCAAGTACACGGTCTTCTAATTGTTCACGTGTAGTTCCCGATGATGAAGATATATATGACGAGCAACTATTTGAATCAAAGAAAGAATTGCAAGAAGCTGTGCACCGGATTGCTTTAAAGCATAATTTCGAGTTTAAAGTGAAGAAATCAAACAAGTCGACGTACACAATTATTTGCGTTGACGAAAGTTGCCATTGACATTTGCGAGCGACTAAGATGGACACGAATGAGTTCTTTGTAGTCCGTAAGTATGTACGGGAACATAATTGCGAATTGAGTATTCATCAAAATGATCATAGGCAGGCCCGATCATGGTTCATTGGTCGAGAAATAATGCACAAGTTCCAGGACCCACCAACGATTTACAGACCTTCGGATATCATTAATAACGTTCAACGAGAGTACGGGGTGGTCATGAGCTATCAGAAGGCTTGGAAGGCTAAAGAATGTGCATTAGAGGATTTGATGGGTTCGACGGAGGAGAGTTATGATAAATTAGCCAGGTATTTCATTGATTAGGTGTTTATTTCTTTGTTATTTTAATTTTTAATTATTTTATTTCAATTGTTTATTTATATGTAATTAATTATTTAATTGAATTATTTATATTTCTGTTCATTTAATATTTAATAGGTTATCTAAATTATGATTTTTTTATTTACATTGGCCAGGTATTACTATAACACGGGAAGAATTAATACTGGGTCGACATTTTTTATTAAGAAGGATGATGATAATCACACTTAAAATATTTCTTTATGGCCCTTGGACAATGCGTTCGAGGATTTTGAAACGCAATGCGACCCCTAATATTAGTCGACGGTACAACCCTTAAAACGAGATACGGGGGCAAGTTGATTATTGCAACATGCCAAGATGCTAACATCCAAATTTACCCTCTTACGTTCGGCATAGTCGACGGAGAAAATGATGTAGCGATGAGTTGATTTTTCACGAAGTTGAGGGAAGTAATTGGGGATGTCGAAAACCTTGCATTCGTAACCAATCGAGGGCAGTCAATAATATATGGTATCGTCGAAATCTTCCTCGAGGCACATCATGGTTATTGTATGTACCATATACAGGGAAACATGAAGACCAGGTATCGAGGCAAGAGCATCATTGCGTTGTTTGGGAGAGTTGCAGAGGCTTACAGTTTTGAAGAGTTTGAAAAGTTCATGGTCGAAATAGATAGTAAAGCGCATGATGCATGGGAGTATCTTACAGAGATGGGGATCGAACATTGGACACGATCACATTTTTCAGGACGTCGATACAACATGATGACGTCGAACAATGCAGAGTCGCTCAACGCTTTATCCAAGAAAGATCAAGAGTTACTAATTCTCGCAATGATTGAGAACATTCGTGACAAGCTACAACAGTAGTTTCATGATCGACGTGAGGAATCACAGAGTTGTGTAAGTGTGCTAACCTCGACTCGAGAAGATAAGCTCTTCAAGACTCTAGATATGGTGAGAAAGGTATATGTAGAATCAATGGATCAGTTTCGCTTCTCTGTGAGATGTGCACGTAATTTCGGATACATCGTGGACTTGAATGATAACACGTGCACGTGTAGATAGTTTCAGTTGGAGAGTTTTCCTTGTACACATGCAGTGACAGTGGTTATGCATAGAGGATTTCCACCACACACCTTATGCAATGCGTATTACATGACTGATTATTGGAGAGCAACGTATGCGGAATCAATATTTCTTGTACCAAACGAAATCGAGTGGAAAGTTCCCGACCACATTCTTCCACTGAATAACTTGTTGCCACCAGAAGTTGGACCACGTACTCTTG